AGGAAGGGTTTTTGGTTTAGGTACGGGTGGTGGAGTGGATAGGGTGTGTTTGGGAGGTGTGGGAGGAAGAGGGGTAGGGGGATGTGAGGAGGGGGAGGATGGATTTCGGCAGTCACTGTGAATGCAGCCAGAATCTGGGCAGAGAAATTGATGGCTGGTTGAGAGGGAGGAACTTTCTCTTGTGTTATACGTAGAAAGTTTCTTATGTCTTTAAGGGTTTGGGGGGGGGGGGGGATTGGGAAAAGGATCTTTTATGGGGAGGTGAAGAGGAGATCGGTATCTGAGAATTTGAGGGTGTAGGTGTGGGATGGGATCTGGTAGGAGAGGATGGGGTGGGGCGTTTGGGTTGTCTAATGCGACTGACAAGGCGTGAAGTAGGAAGAGACATAGGAGTTGTGGATATTGGAGTGTCTGGATTTAGGGTGGAAAATTGAATGTACGAAAGCGCTTCGTCTGAAGCGCACAGCTTGGAATAGATAGCTACCGACACAAGAGAGGTGCCCCCAGTCAACTAACAGCCTTCATATCCTTCATACCCTGATTGGGGGATATGAGAATTAGAGATGGAAAGTTGAGGAGCAGGGGAAAGTGGTGCTATAGATGTATAGACCACTTGGGTAGCTTGAGTCCTAGTTTGAATCTGAGATTTGCTACTTCACTTTCAAATTTGTAGGCTGTGCAGCCTCTATAGAATACATTATGAGGTCCGCCACAATTTGCACATGTACATGATTGTGCAGGGCAATTTGCACGCTCATGACCAGGTTGACCACATAGTGGGCAGCGGGCTGTAGACCGACAGTGCTTTGCAGGGTGGCCAGCAAAACGGCACATGGTCTTACATGGCAAGAAACCCCTCTTATATAGACCTTATGGGAAGGTCGTGTCTACGAAGGTAATCTTGGCAATATTGATGGGACTTCCGATTACCTCTGGGGGAATTAGAACTTCCCCAGTGGCATGTTTTTCAGTCTGTCCAGACAGGGCAATCAACTGAGGAGAGGGAAACAGTTCCAGTACATGTATTAAGGGAGGGGCGAGGTAGAACGGGTATAGGTTTGCCAGTGAGGTCAACTAGGGTAGATATTGCTTTGGCTTGAGTCTCAGATGTAACTGTGATTAACCGTGTGCGATCAGGACGACTACGGAAGAAAACTTTGCCAACTTGTTTTTGGAGGCAATGTTGAAAGAGTAGGGTGTTATCTGAGTGAGGCGCTGTTGGGGGGAACTATAAAGTATCGGTCCCATTTGGTTGGTTTAAACAGATTATTCAAAAAGCTTGAGGAAGTGGGAATTGTAGAAGGGCGAGGGCGGGAGGAGGAGGGAGTGGTGTGAGGTGAGGTTTTCTTATGGAGGTGTGGGCGATATGGTTGAAGAGTTGTGATAAGGGAGGTTTGGGTATAATGTGATGATTGTTCAGGAAGTGGGCTGGATGATGTTGGGAGTGAGGATGGGATATCTTCTATGGGTTGAGTTAGTATCTGGGTAGATGATTCAGGATGGGTTAGGTTGGTAGTATGCATAGAGGAGGGAGCTGTATAGTGGTGTTCTGAGCCGTGGTCAAAGGGGAGTCAGGGGTCGGTAAACTTGAGGATTTAGATTCAGAGAGGCTATTTGATAAAGGGGCAAGCCTCAATGCCCCTAATATGGGTACAAGATCTTCATTACTGGCCATGGTAAGCCTGGTTTTATGTGGGGAAGGTAAAAAACGATCCACCTCTCAGGGTCCCTGTAAGGGGTAAGGGCTAAATGATTTATCGAGGAATACCGTGCCTATGGCTCCCTAAGGCCGGTCATGACTGTCACGAGGTCAGCCTTTCATCCTTTCAACATGGCTCTTACATCTTAGGAGTTTGAAAGGTGAAGGGTTGGGGAAGATAAGAGAGAGAAAGGAGAAAAGACCGTGCAAAATTAGTCAAGGCAAGGGCTGAGATCCAAGGCGGGGGAGATCTCCCGCATTGGGTCTCAGACTCTGTCTCCTAAGCCCCCCCACGACAACAACGGGCTAAGGATGGGGGGGGGGGGTATGTTGTATCATTGTACTGATACTGCATCATAGTGATGCAGGCAAGATCTTTTCAGTCTGACCTTGTCGTAGACAGGGCAATCAAATGGTTAGCTTGAGTTCCAGTAGAAGGCCCATGAGAGGAATAGGGTAGGAATAGGTTTGCCAGTGAGGTCAGACAAAAATGAAGACTTGAGGATGTTGGGGGGGGAATAGGAATGTTTTCTGAATGTTAGATAATGACCTGAGTGGGTGATCAGGAGAGAGCGATTGTTAGGGGAACCAGAGAAATTAAAGTTAATGCAACTAGTAGATAAAGGGGTTTCAATTCTTTAGAAACAATAGTTTTTAATGATTTTTTTTTTGAATAAAAAATTCAAATTTCCAACTCCGGGGTACAACACACTTAGCCTTTGTTAATCCCTTTCCTATGCCATTTACTACCCCCCCTAAATCTCACGACTATTGTCGTCATTAAGGGGGTGTGGTTAGGAGACAGGGACTGAAGCCCTTTGTGGGGGATCACTCCTACCTTGGTCCTCAGCACTCGGCTCATTTCACTTTGTATAGCCTTTTCATCTCCACCTTTCTTTTTCCTTCTCTTCTTCATCCACTTCCGTCCACATCTTAGTGCGAGACATGCTAAAGGCTGGCATTGTGTCAGTCCTGAATGGCCTTTATGCTGTTTGTTATTCTCTCTTTACCCTCTTCATTACCATACTAACCTACAGTGCTCTACAACCTTTGACATTGAACATATTTTGTTCTAATTGTTAATACCTTGCTAAAATACTTTCCTTACCTGTAGGCTTTGCCACCAAGCCTCGCCCTATTGCTATATTTTGTGTCCTTAGATGTTGACGCTACACCTTCCTATAGTCCTACATGTCTAACAAACTTGCTTTTTAACCACTGACCACTGAAAACACCAGGATATATTAAGAAAAAAGTGAGACATGGTAAGATTTATTCATATCCAAATCATTTAATGCTACCATTCTTTGTACAACAAGACATAGGCATATGTACACAAAAATACTGTTGTATCAATGTACAACTGTCAGGATTTGCAACATGGGGTCTTAAATTTAAGTGAGCCTTTCTTTTCTGTCCACCGGGGTTGCCCCGAGTCCCTGTTCAGAGAATTGTTGAGCCAGGTACTGAGTCTTGGTATTAACGCCTACCAGTAGCTACACATCTACCATGCATGGTAAGAGAGCTCCAAAATGCGCCACTACCAACTATCCAAAAGGAGAAACGAACGCAACAAGTCTGTACAGGGCTTGGTTCACTCCCATGCTGAACACCTTGTATACTTTATGCTTAGTCTACTGGTGTATCATAAACATCAACTCTACAACACACTATCATTGGCAATGAAAAAATAAAATAAAAAGATATATATCCACAATAAGAATAATGATTTCAAATAGAGCTTCCATCACTTTTTCACAACATCTATTGGACATTTCTTGTAAAAGATATCACTAAAAAATTTCATATTAGGAAACATGAATATCCCATAATACACAAAAGCAAGAACAGAAAATAAAAATATTATTTGTCCCAACAATATATGTACATAACATAAATACAAGAAGTGCTAGTGTGAATGGGAGAGCAAAGGGATATATCAAAGCCACAAACATTTTTGGAGATTCTTTCATTACTTCAAAGTTCATCAGAAAATGTAGACTCAAAGCTACATTCTCTTGGTTTAAAAGTAATCTTGTTTCAGATACCTTGGTAAGGTATACAAAAAAATGCTGAACCTAATTGTGGCTAAGAAGGGAGGAAAAGAAAAAGAAAGAAAAAAAAATATATATACATCTATGTGTATACAAGTGTGCTATTTGTATTATGTATATGTACATACAATATGTTTTCAGGTTTGTGTTGTTATTTAAAATCTAAGCAAGTCTAAGGGAGTAGGGGGAGGAAGGGGGGGGGGGGGGAGAGAGAGAGAAGAGAGAGAGAGAGAGAGAGAGAGAGAGAGAGAGAGAGAGAGAGAGAGAGAGAGAGAGAGAGAGAGAGAGAGAGAGAGAGAGAGAGAGAGAGAGAGAGGAGGGGGGGGGGGGGATGAGTTAAGAAACAAAGAGGAGAATAATGGTGTATGTATGCATGTGCCAGAGTGAGCATGTAAGCTTGCATGAATGTCAGTGTGAACATGTGTGCGTGCATGTGTGTGTGTGTGTGTGTGTGTAAGTGCATATATATGTGTGTGTGTGTGTAAGTGCATATATGTGTGTGCCTGTAAGTGCATTAATGTGTGTGTGCATATATGTGTGTGTAAATGCATATATGTGTGTGTAAATGCATATATATGTGTGTGTAAGTGCATATATGTGTATGTGTGTGTGTGTAAGTGCATGTGTGTGTCTGTAAGTGCGTGTATGTGTGTACATGCATGTGTGTGTACGTGCATGTGTCTACTTGCATGTGTGTGTGTACTTACATGTGTGTGTACATGCATGTGTGTGTACGCGCATGTGTGTACGCTCATGTGTGTGCGTGTGTACGTGCATGTGTCTGCGTGTGTATATGCATGTGTAGTGCAAGTGTGTGCGTATGTACATGCATGTGTGTGTGTACGTGCATGTGCGTCTGTGTATTTACGTGCATGTGCATGTTTGCCTGTGTGTGTGTGTGTGTGTGTGTGTGTGTGTGTGTGTGTGTGTGTGTGTGTGTGTGTGTGTGTGTGTGTGTGTGTGTTTTATGATTTTCTATTAATGGCATAAATGTAATAACTGCTTTTGCTGAGGAACTTCTACGATGGACTGTTCGTAGCGAGTCCAGAGGGAGGCTTACATTCTGACTTTTTGTGGCTTGGATAACACACTGTGGCAGAGAACTATAAAGCAGAACTGCCCATCATTACACAATTGAAGCGTAGCCTTGGTTTAGTCTGCACTGCAGTGAGACTGTAGCTTGTGATAAATGTACAATGGCTGATACTGAAGTTGAGTACTGTAGATAAACTGAAGTAAAAGCAGAGTCCTTGTGTGACACTTTAAAGACTGTGATTACAATTATTTTTTTTTACATGAATTAACAGCCCGTGTGATTTAAAAATTATCCTCATAAAAATTTGCCCTGAGGAAGTGTGCTGGAAAGCTTTTTTTCCACTTGGGACAGAAATCCATAATGATAAACCGATTCTTTTACAAAGATCAGCAGTAAGTACAAATATTTTTGTTTATCTTTTATCAAAGATTAATCAATCTGGTCCTTGAGTGAACTCCACGCAAACTAAGAGGGATGGGGTTGTCTCACACTCACACGAGCACAACACAGAACACAATTTTTTCTGGCAGTTTTTGGGCCTTTGTATTCAAAGTTTCAAGGAGCCCTTCATTTTGTCAAGGAGAAAGAACCTATTATTATTTTGTACTTTCCAAAAACAAATAGATAGGGAAGGGAATATACTAAACTTAAAATATTGGAAAAGAAAGGAATGGAAGGGCATGGATGGTATGCAATAAAATACTCTAAGACATATAAAGCTTTCCAACAATATACATAATTATTTGTGGTCAGGCCACATGAAGAGTGCTTTGTGACGAGATGCAGAAGTGGAGTTCCCAATGCAACAGCCCACTCAAAACTTATTATGCAGATGACAGAGAACACTCATCTGGGCTTAACCAAGAAATATATAAATTTGCACAAGGACTCAAGAAAAATTTCCACACAGAGAGCCGAGCCTATAAGAAATGGCTAGTGAAGACATCACACGGGTCTGGAGAGGAGCAACGCCCTCCTGCAGCTGGCTGATAGGGCTGCAGAGGGCTGGCTGGCCCGCCATCACGACCCTCTCGAGCCGGGAGCAGAGCAGTCAAGTCCGTTGTAGTTGCCTCCATTGTAGCTGAGGCCTGGGGCAGGAGGGGGACCTTGGGGGTGTGCTGAGGCTGGAAGTCCGTGTGACCCTTGAGGAGGGGGAGGAGGCAGAGGAGGAGGGAGAGGAGGAGGGGTCACCAGGGGGCTGTGTTGAGGCGGTGCCACCCTGCTGGGAGGATACACTGGCAGAGGCCCACTGGCATTGCTTGAATACTGTCCTCTGGAATATGACCTTGCAGGATAGCTGGTGTTTTGCGTAGGTGGATGTGGTCCTGTAGGTCCTGTGGGTCCTGGTGCAGGAAGGGAGCTGAGGTGGGGCCGCTGGGAGGCCGTGTGGCCCACAGGCTGTGTGATGGAGGAGCTTCTTGAGGACATGTCCATTGCAACTGGATTCACAATAGAGTTTGGCAGGGGAAGTGGCAGGGTAGGGAGAGCTGGTATGGGGGAAGGAGGTAAGCCAACCTGTGAGGCTTGGGCTCCAGGTAATGCAGTCAGGGAAGGGCCACTGGGAGAAGAGGGAATCGAGCTGACTGCTGGTGGTGGTACAGGCATTGGGGGGGTAACCCCTGATCCTGGGTAGCTAGGTGGTGGGCCTGGGGGTGGGCTGGCAGCCTGCCTGCCTGGTGTCGCAGTGTGTGCTGCAAGGGGGCCAGTGCTGGTGCCTGGGCTGCTCGATGTCATGCTACCACAGGTGTTTGATCCTGGGCTGGGACTGGCTGCCACAACCCCCTTGGCAGTGCATGTTACTTTCTGGACAGTGACCTCTCTGCCTTGAAAGATGGAATTCTTTGGTGGAGCTGTTGGAGGTGGTGGTGGGGGAGGGAGGTTCTTATCCTTGTGGCGCCGGTGGCTTCTGTCACGCTCCTCACTCTCTGCAAGGAGAAGGTCAAACTTTAGGTTGGAAACCTTATGCTGCAAGCAGGGACAGATAAAAAATGAAAGCAGATCATTAATAAAAACAATAATAAATAACATAAGATAATATTTTAACATTTATATTTTCTATCTAATGTTAATAATAGACAACTTCCAAGCAAAGTGTGACAAAGTATGCAATCATTAAAGGTTAATTACACATTAATTCTTTTCAAACTGAACCTCAATAACTTTATACTGAATGAACTATTTGCATACTTTAAACCCATTAATGCCGGTATATTTTGAAGCCGAAAATAAAATACTCTGGGCGGCTACAAAATTGGCGCGCGGGGCTGGCCTGGACTCTGCCCGAGCGCCGGCTGTGGACCGCTGCTGCGTCAGAGCGTGAGCCCCAATACAGCGTCACACTGGCGGGATGCCCGGCAATGTTATTTTTTCGGGTGTCTCATATGTGGGACACCCGCTGTTAGTGGGTTAAGGAGCAGGCAACAGCTCTGGTGAGTGACACTATGCATCCACATTATGAAGAACTATTTCCGATCCATTATAGACCACCTAATTAACATAAATTCTCTCCCGTATGAATATCCCAACTATTTGAAAAAAAGAAAAAGACAAAAGTCAAAGTAAACTGCCAATCAAAACATAAATAATACCCTAATTATCATGCACACAAACTCATCCTTAACCTATTGATGCTAGGATGGCATGCTCATACATGTCATGTCCATTAATTGCTAGTCCTACCTATCTCACCTGTTAACCTTTTCCCTTGATAAAGAAAGAAAGAAAGAAAAGAAAAACTTTTTTATTGTTATTAGTATTTTAGTAATTTTACAAAAATCCTGTCAACAATACTAAAAACAGTATCGATGTTAACCCTTTGGATCCGGGGACTTCAAGGGTACAAAACACAGGCATTAGGCTTACTAGAGTGGTCATGCTGACAGTTGTGTGGCTTGTAGGCAAATGAACTCTCATATGAGGTGAAAAGACTCTATGCCTCCCCTTTGCAATGTCATTTTCTCTTGCAGGTATAGACATGAAATTTAAGACCTTTTTAAGACTTTAAGACTCAAACAAATTTCTTTTTAAGACATGGAGTCTGTAAATTATAGTCCTAACTCTCATCTGTGACCGATTAAAAAAAAAAAAAAAAAAAAATCACACCATAATTTTTTATAGAGCCTGTCTGATAAAACTGTGTTCCTCTTTTTCAACATGGCCTATAAGTAAATGGTTGCTTCAATCCGCAAAGGTCAATGCCTGATGCTGACACATGATTTCCGATTAAGCTGTGTAAAGATCCACAAGTGAGTTGAATTGTGACATGTCTGCCTGTAACTTATATATATAGATTTACACAAACAAAGATGTACCATGGGCAAATTTAAGAGATTTTAAGACCTGCAACAGGAGATGCTCCTTTTTTTTTTTTTTTTTTTTTTTTTTTTTCAATTTCCAATGTTCATATTTGACAACTGACTTGCTTTATCCAGATGGTGACAGACTAATCCTTGCACAGACTTCCAATCATCTCTCTATGTAGTCCAAACTATAGTGCAAGAATAATGACAGTAAATAAACATTTTGTTTTTTGTGTCATTTTCTTATATTTTCATGGCATTCATTTTTTTTTTATAATACAACCTGTCCTGCCAGTCATGGCAGGCAGGAATAGACTGACCCAGAGCATGGAAAAATGTGTCCCCTCTGGAGTCAATGCTTGTTCAGTCACGGCTCATGTATACCATATTCCACACTTGTTTATTGATGGCAATAAGGCAAAACCCCATTCAAAGAGCCAAATGAGTCTAATCACCCTCCAAGAGGTTTGTGCACTAGTGGCAAATTTCCTGTCACCTTAGCCTTCAGCTGAAATGCTCACAACAGCAAGTTTGTGCAACTCCAGCCCAATTCAATTCAACTCAAGCAAATTATTTCCTGACATGATAGTCATGTCATCCTGATTGTAAGGGTTAATGGCAGGAAGGGGGGGGGGGAGGGAAGAAGAGAGGAAGGGAGAGAGAGGGGAGGGAGGGAGAGAGAGAGAGAGAGAGAGAGAGAGAGAGAGAGAGAGAGAGAGAGAGAGAGGAGAGAGAGAGAGAGAAGAGAGAGAGAGAGAGAGAGAGAGAGAGAGAGAGAGAGAGAGAGAGAATCAAAGAATGGGGAAATTGGGTGAGGTCATATTGGGCCTACTACCTTCTTGGCGACTGAAAATATTTGAATCCAAATTTTTGTAAACAAAATTCACAAAGCAAAATTGCAGTGGACAGGACATGTAACTCAGGGGCAATTGGTTAATTTTTTTCAAGATTCAATATTAAACTGATATATGATGTACAAATGATTATCAAGAAGGCAATTTCTAAGTTATTTCTCACACAATCCCACACAAAACCTTCAACTGAAAAAGTCACCAACAAGGATGAACACTCCCCCAATAATATCTGTACCAGTGTCTGCATGGCCTATCGTCTATATCTTTGAGTAAATGTATCAAGTTGAAATATGACCAATATTATATGATGCTTTTAATACTTTTTACTTATATGTGATTGAAGGCAAAATCACCTTTCTTTGTTGTAATTAAATTTTCTATTAAAATAAGCAATACCAAACTCTGACAAAAAATAAATCAAAATAATTTACTTTAGTTTTAAACACAGGCAACTGCCCTCAATTGAGTAATAAATATATAGGACGGTGCACTTAATTGCTGACACCTGAGCTAAGCTAATAAGTTGGGTGCTGTATAAAAGGCACAAATCTGTTAATTTAAAACTGACAATATATCAATTTTGTTAAAAAGTGTCAGCCCTCTATGCATGGTATTTCATCCAGTAAAATGTCTTGTTTTCAAATTCCTCATCTGTGTTGTGTAAATAGTACCAAATACATTTTTCATTAAAGTAAGTAAAATTATCAGAAAAAATAAATGATTTCCCATGAGCATAGCTAATGGTACACTTTTTGAGATCATATGTTCGACATCCAACATTTTATTTAAGTCCCTGAGGAGGGGGGGACATGGGGTCAAATTGAGTTAGCTAGCTTATAGTATAGGTACATGGATGAGGAAACTACCAAACGAGCATTAAACGCCTGCTATGGCTCATTCTCCTGCAGCTGCCGCGAGACCTGCTGAACACCAGAGAAGGTATGTCCCTAAAGAGCGCCCAGGTACACCTATGTGGACTTCTGCTTGCAGCAATCGTGCATACAGCCTTTGTGACAGTGCGCATAGATATGAGATATTTCCGTTACATTTCGCTCATGGTCGGTACTTTATGGGTTCGTGAATGTTCAAGGAACACGTTTATACCAATATCAGAAAAAAATTATATCCCCATGATTTATGAAATATTTTGTGGAAAAAAAAAAAAAAAAAAAAAAAAAAAAAAAAAAAAAAAAGTAAGTTCTGTGTCCTTTTATACACAAAATATGCTTCTATCAAGACTCCCTAGTTATAGTAGGTTCCGAAGTAATCTGCAGGTATATCACGTACGAAGCACTAATGTTTGAAAATAGCGTTGTAAGTAAGGATTGAAATATTTCCGTTACATTTCGCTCATGGTCGGTACTTTATGGCATCAGTAAATTTGATTTGCTATGAAATTGGTTGTTACCGCTGTGAAGAGGACTTCATTACGAAGGTCACCAAATAATCAGATTTTTGAACTTAGGATGTATAAGCAAGATACTGATTATTTCATATTGAAGATGATAGTACTCAGTAATACCTACTCTGAAATAAAAACTATATGGAATTTTGATCTCGATTTTGTGCGCAGTCTTCGTCTAAAGTTGAAAGAGCTGTTTCATCTGTTTTGTGCGTTTTCGATAAAAAAATATTACATTTAGACGATACTGTAGGTTTTAGGTACCATAAATCCGCAAATATCCCACCCCACCTAGGCGTCTGCATGATTTTATGCACTTCTTATAAAAGATCATGGGTGCAAATGGCTAATCAACATCTCTACACTCATTTCCCTTTGCAATCTGCTAATATTGACAATTATCGAAGAAAACGGTTTGTAGGGTAACTAATATATTTTATTCCTTTAGATATAAGAGTGAATGCAGGCCTATTAGACAAGGATGATTAATTTTTGTTTTAACTTTATGTGTGTGTTTACGAACATATGACACTCCTCGAAAATTAGAAACGCCCAGTGATCAGACAAAACAGACAAAAAATAGTTCTCTATGTCAACCAATCCCCCCCCCCCCCAAAAAAAAATCGAGCTACATTATGTACCGAAGAAGAGGGGAAAAGAAGAAGAAGAAGAAGAAGAAAAAAAAAAAATATATTTTTTCAAATATGATAATACTCAGTAACACCCACTCTGAAATAAAAACTATATGGAATTTTGAGCTTGTTTGTGTGCGCAATCTTCATCTAGAGTTGAAAAGGCTATTGCTTCTGTTTTATGCTTCCCGATAAAAACTATTCTGTTCAGACGTTACCGCAAGTCTTAGGTACCATAAATTCGCAAATATCCCACCACACCTACGCGTCTGCATGATTTCATGCACTTCTTAGTAAAGATAATGGGTACAAATGGCTAACCACCAACTCTACACCCTTTGCAATCTGTTGATATTGACAATTATCAAAGAAAATGGTTTGAGCGGGATAACTAATGTATTTTAATCCTTTAGATATGAAAGTTGGTGTAGGCCTACTAAATGAGGATGATTCCTTTTTTTAACTTTATGTGTGTGTGTTCATGTACATAAGATCCTCCTCGAAAATTATAAACACCCAGTGACCCCCATCCCCATGTACTAAAATCATATGCTTTAAAAATTGTCCAAATTGAACCACCATGTTGTATTCATGCTAGAACTTTATTAGGATGATTTTGAACTAATGTTGCCATCCACAGTTCCCCATTTCTTAAAAATTAAAGATGAAGTTGTTTCAATGGCTTAATGCATTTATTAAACTTTTCAGACAAAAATATCTACTACATTAAAAAACATT